TTCAGTCTCTTTCCGCATCCCCCGCTCCACTTTTCCCCCAGAATCGTCAGTCCACTCCCCTTCCATAACTCTGATTCTAGTATATTCACCAGTTAATATTGTTCATCAGATTTTTTAATTCCCTTGGTTTTTAGTTTCACTTGTTGATAGTTACATATTTGTTGTTCATAATTTTTATCTTTATCTTCTTCCTCTTTCTAAAGAACCCCCTTCAGCAATTCATATAATTCTGGTTTAGTGGTGATGAACTCCTTTAGCTTTTTTTTATTAGTGAAGTTCTTTATCTGGCCTTCAATTCTGAGTGATAGCTTTGCTGGGTAGAGTATTTTTGGCTGTAAGTTCTTGCTATTCATCACTTTGAATAGTTCTTGCAATTCCCATCTGGCCTGCATGGTTTCTGTTGAGAAATCAGCTGACAATCGTATAGGTGCTCCTTTATAGGTAACTACCTGCTTTTCTCTTGATGCTTTTAATATTCTCTCTTTGTCTTTTGCTCTTGGGATTTTAATTTGATGTGTCTTGGTGTGGTCCTCTTTGGATTCCTTTTGTTTGGGGTTCTGTGCACTTCCTGGACTTGTAAGTCTATTTCTTTCACCAGGTGAGGGAAGTTTTCTGTCACTATTTCTTCCAATATGCTTTTGGTATCTTGCTCGCTCTCTTCTTCTGGGACCCCCATAATTCTGATGTTGGTTTGCTTGAAATTATCCCAGAGGTTTCTTACACTATCTTCTTACACTTTCTGAATTTTCTTGTCTTCTTGCTTTCATGGAGGAGTGTCCTCTGGGTCTTTGTGTTCCAAATCTTTGTCTTGATTCCTGCAATCTTCCAGACTGTTTTTAGGACTCTATAATATTTTTTATTTCAGATAATGTTTTCTTTATTTCTAGTTGACCCCTTTTTATTTCTAGTTGCTCCCTTTTCATATTCTCATAGATTTCATTTATTTTACTGGCCTTTCCTAGGAAATTCTTGAAAAACCTTATCACTGTAGTTTTGAACTCAATGTCCATTCTTTTACTTTCCTCCATCTCCTTCCTTTGTGTCCTGCCTCTTCTCTGCATTTTAGATGCTTCCCTGATTTGATGGAATAGTTTTGTGTGCTAGGTGTTCTGGTAGAGCCCAGTAACACAGCCTTCCCAGTTTCCTGAGGTGGACAGTCTTGGTGTATCCCTTTGTGGGCTGTGTGTGCAGTCTTGTTGTTGAGCCTTGCTTGTTGTTATAACTGGGAAGCATTGATCTCCAAGCCAATTGGCTGTGAGGATCAGCAGTGTCTCAGCTAGGCGGGCTTCTGTACTCCACTTGGATTTGGCAGAATCCCAGGGTGGTGCAGACAAGCTTTGGTTTCCCGACAATTCCTTCCTACGAGGGTCTGGCTCCTGAGTTCTTCAGTAATGGCTTCTGGCTTCACACACCTCTGAAAGATCTCTGCCCACTGCCTGACAATCTGGCCTCTCCCTGACTGTGGCCATCTATCAGAGCAATCGGGTGGTTCTGTTTTCCTCCTGAACAAGAAAGGCAGCCACACATTAGTTGTCTGCGCACTGCAAGCAAGCCAGCAGCGAACTTGGGTGGCCACCTTTTTGGGTGCATAGTTCATCGCACCTTCACAGTTCCTGAGGCTCAGCATGCCTTCTCTCTTCTTCCAGATAGTAGAGCCTCCTCTCAGCCAGCCGTCCAGTTTCTTCAGGGTGATGTTTCCGATTCTAATTTCAAAATTGTTGTGTTAGACTGCATTCAGATGTCTACCCTATGCAGCCATCTTGGTTTCTCTCCAAATTTAAGTTAAATTTTAATAATTCATATTTATTGCAATCATTTGTATGTTTGGAATTTTCCCTGCCATGTTATTGTGTGTTTTCCATTTAATTTTCTATTTCCATGTTTTCTTGGGGTATTTTTCCTCCCTCTTTCCTTTCCACACATTTATGTTGGTCTAACTTTCTTATTTCATTTTTTCTCTCTAACATTTTGGAAATTATAAACTTGTTTTTATTCATCCAATGATATCAGAAGAAAAAAGATTTAACACACAGTTTTAAACTTACTTTCAGTGTAATTATCAATAACCACATTCAATCTATAATACTTCCATAAAGATGTTGAGATCATCTGGATTTAGCTCCATATTAATGTTAATTAATTTTATAGAAAAATACTATTCTAGATTTTAAAATAGCCTTCTTTCTTTCAAAAGGTTATTTTTACTGAAATATAATTCACTTATAAAATTCACCCTTTAAGTGTACAATTCAGTAGTTTTTTTGGTATATCCACAAAGTTGTACAACCATCACTACTACCTAATTCCAGAATATTTCTGACATCCCAAAAGAAACATATAGCCATTATTTCTTTATTAAAATGTCTTTTAAAATATTTGTATGGATTTCAAGAGGAAGAGAGAGAGAGAGAGAGAGAGAGAGAGAGAGAGAGAGAGAGAGAGAGAGAGAGAGAGAGAGAGAGAGAGAGAGAGAGAGAGAGAGAGAGAGAGAGAGAGAGAGAGAGAAACATCAATGACAGCAGAGAATCATTGATTGGCTGCCTCCTGCACACTCCTTATTAGGGATTGATCCTGCAACCTGAGCATGTGCCCTGAACAGGAATTGACCGTGACCTCTTGGTTCATAGGTTGATGTTCAACCACTGAGCCATACTGGTCGGTTACTATAGCCATTATTAACAATAGTTTTTATTGTCAACTTTGTCAGCTTCTGCTTTTGTAACCTGTGTCTTCTTCCTGATTCTTTTTAATTTTGTTAGAGACCATAACCCAGTAAGTCTTTCTAATAGGATTCATAAGCCATAATTTTCTGAACCGTCAATATTTAAAAATGTTTTCACTTTTCCCTTTGACTTGAATGCTCCCAGTAGATGCAGATACCTTTGTTCCTTCCTTGGCAGAGTCAGTTTCCTGGTCAGTATCTTAGCTGACTACTCTCAATGTCCGAGGCCGCCTCCCTCCTGCTTTTCACAGCCACATGTCCACCACCATTCTTGCCCAAAGCATTTGAGCTGCTTCCTCTTGTTTAGGAGTCACTCCTGTATGTGCACTTTGAACCATGATCTTCTCCTTCAATTTATTTTCATCTATCTTTCACCATTCAAATATTCTTCATAATTTCTGGTCCACCAAGGGTGAGTTCCTTTCCTAATTCAAATACTGTCTTGGCTCATGGACACACATATACTTACACACATCATCCATTCCTTTGTTCCCACACACACATATTCTGCTGTTTCTGGCCATTTAAGGTAGGAGAGGGCTGAGATATGTGCTCTTTCTCCCTTCATTACCTAATGTCTTCAAGAACTTTAGAAACATAGCATAAAATAGCCTGAGGTTTTGATCAAGGTTTAGAGTCTTCTGTTCTGCCAAGTACTGGGTCTGTACCTAGCCCCTCAGAGTAGTTGAGGGTCTTTCCAGTTTCCAAACCCCTCCAGTTTGCAGGTAGACAATGAAACCTGGGAAAGTGCTCTGTCATGGCCAAAGACACGGGACTATTCAGTAACAATGTTTAGACTAGTTTCTATGTCTCCTGACTTCAGTGTTCTGCTCCTGCTGTACCCTGGACCTTACATCCTTACTCCTCTTTTGCCTGGAAGCCTATTTCTCCTCTTCTGCCTCCAATTCTTTCATTATTTGCAGCACTTGAAAGAGAAGAACAAAACATGAATATACTGATAATGTGCCAGGTCAATAATGAACATGTTATGATGAGTATTGTTACACACAGATGAGAAAGATCACATCCAGGAAAATCCCATGTTGGATACATCATTAATACACACTGTACACACCAAATAGATAGAATACAGTCTGCTTGTGAGGCTAGGATGGTACTGAATTGATGATAGAAAGCATGTGCAGACACATCCTGATGGACCACCATTCTCATTTCCTGCCCATGATGGTACAAGTAGATTAATTAACTCCATAACTAACTAACATGGAAGAAAAAAGGAAATACAAGCTAAGAAGATTCCTGGATGCCTATGAAGATGGCAGAAAAGAAGGCACAAAGCAAAAATTGCCAATCATGGTGCTTATTGTGCCCCATGTGACCAAGTCATAGTCTATTGGCTTGGATTTTTTCATTTTCTGAATAAATGTGGTTTCCCCCTATTTTTGTTTGACCCTATGCCTGACCACAAAAGCAAGGCTAATGTTAAAACTTTAGCTATAAACATTGTTAAAAGTTTTCCATAAAGGTAGTGGATTCTTTAAAGTCTCTGAAAGCCTATACAATAAGAGTTTTAAACTTTTTAATCAAGATATATCGAATGAACCAAATGTGAATAAAAAATGCTTTACAAAGTAATAGATTTGTGCATTATTATATGCATCATATCTTCATAAACTAACAAAATGCATCAATATATTTAATTGTCTGTCCTCTGTGTTCAGACTCAGGGAAGTGAGAGGAATGGGCCCCATGGTGAAAGGTTTCCTACTGGCCACCCTGTTGGAATGGAAGGTTGTCCATATTGTCCCAAACCTAGAATCTTCTATTCAGCTTTGTATATCTCAACGAATTTTAACTTAATCCTTCATGCACAGGTTCACAGGCTCTTAGAGATTAATTCATCCTCAGTGTCCACCCATTAGGGGATTGGCAGAAAATGAATGTGTTAGATCATTGTCTTACAGTCACGGGTCTATAATTCTACTGGATAGAAACAAGCAAAGTGATTGCCTGGTGTGTTCCTGTAGATGAGTCTAAGGGGAACCATTTCAGTCTCAGCACAGAGGTCACCATGATCTCAGTGACAAGTAGCCTGAAGCCCTGATGACCCAGGACACCCATTTTCCACCACAGACATAGAACTGTTAGGAAAATTGGAATTCATGGGCAACTTCTTCTCTAGAAACGTTTTTCAATACCCTTGGGCTCTTCCTTACTGAATTGATGATAGAAAGCATGTGCAGAAACACCCTGATGGACCACCATTCTCATCTCCTGCCCATGATGTGATACCATCTTCTTCTGCTTCCTTCTTTAGTGCTCCATTGAGTGTGGCAGTGGGACCCAACAGAGGGAAGTGATTTGTGTTAGAAAGAATGCAGACACCTTTGAAGTGCTGGACCCTTATGAATGTTCCTTCCTAGAAAAACCTCCCACCCAGCAGTCCTGCCACCTGAAGGTTTGCGGAGCCAAATGGTTTAACACAGAATGGAGCATGGTAAGTCAAGGTGCTCTTGATAGAATTGCTGCTTTTAGTGCATCATTCTCCTGCTTTCCTTTCATATACACACCTGGGCCTCGACTAGGTGCCAGGCTCAGGGCTCAGCCCTCAAATGATCTATAATGATCTATCCAGATGGTCGCTGCCAGGGCACTCCAGATGCACTCTACTTGGTGGGTGGAGCCTAAGGCTGAGACAATCTTGATCTAAACTGCAAAGCCATAAAGCACAGACTCTTAAGTGTCAGTATGCATAAGAATCAGCTGGGGCCTTTTTAGAAAAAAAAAATGAATTCTGGGTCCACCCAAAGAATTTTGCATTTTGAATAGTCTCCTTAGGAGGCTTGGATAGAAGTGTCCTTGGACCGCATTTTGAGGAGTGCTGCTTCAGAGGATTGATGGCTGAACGGATTTAAGAATGCCATTGAGAAACCGCATCATGAAGGAATCTCAGTAGGTCTCAGTAATACAGTGAGACCCACACCAGTCAGGCCTCAGTGTGTGTGCGTGTGTGTGTGTGTGTGTGTGTGTGTGTGTATAAACTTATTTAAAATTCAACAGATGATATGGACTATGTATTATGAAACTGGTCCTGTTTTTCTCTTTGAATTGACTCCTAGGAAACTCAAAGCTAAAATTGTTGTCCATCTCTAAAAGAGAGTTTATCAGCCCTTTCAAAAATCTATTTTTATATTTTATATTTCTTTTAACCTCAATTTCCCCAGATCATTTTACATTTTGTAACCCTCATAGTATTTCTTAAGCCATCTCAGATCCTTTTTGTAAGGAGGGGGCTACTGTGTGAATGATGAGAGACAGAGAGAGTCTGAGATACAGAGATAGAGTTAATACACAAATAGGTTACTAAGAATTAAGTGGAAAAGGTTTTAAATAACACGCTTTTCTTTCCCCAAGTAAAAGAGTTTATTTTCAAGAAACATCCTAAAACAGAAAATGTCCTCAGGGCATCATTCCTGGTGACCAAATAACAGACCTTGGACACATGGAGGTGGGATTCATTCTGCTTTGTGTCACTGAAGATCTTCAAACATGATTGTAGGTGACCCCAAAGTGGAGGCCAGAGACTTTATCAAAATCATTCATAGGTGATAAAAAGGATTTTGCTTATAAAATATATGACTAAAAGCTGAGAATTCTGCTTCCAAACAGTGTTTGAGAACAGCCATTTGGCATGTGGTGAACCATAGGTCAGAGGCCTATGAAAACAAAGGTGGTGTTGAGTTTCAGAAGTGTTTTGTCAACTTCTGGGAAATGAAAATTAATTATTTTGTTGCTGGCCAAGCCCCTTGAGAACACAGGAACAGATCACTATTTTCTTTTACTGTTTAGTTTGAAGAGTCTAGAAAGGGCCAGATTCACCAGACATTTCAAAAAAGATAGACTGTGAAAACAACTGTCTGGAAACAACCCAGATGTCCCTCAACAGGTTAATGTGGTACCTCTGAACAACAGATATTACTCAGCAACAAAAAATGAATGAACTGTTGGTACCCAAATACCATGGATGAACTTCAAATGCATTTTGCTAAATGACACCCAAAGCTACAAATTGTACTATCCCATTTATATAATATTCTATAAAAGGCAAAACTATATGGACAGATACCAGGTCAGCTGAATCTCACCAGGGAATTTGTTGTGCCTGATGAAACTTTGACATAAATGATAATAACAAAGACTGTGATGGAACCCAGATGTCTTTGAAGATGCCTTGTTTTGTAAATTTGAGTTTATAATTGAGTCAACATTTTATATAATTATTAAATAAAATTTTAAAGCAATCCATAAAATGGAAAATTAAATGAAACAAATTAACACACACACACATATATATATATATATAAATTTGTTTAATTTAATTGTTTCATTTAATTTGTTTCATATATATATATATATATATATATATATATATATATATATATATATTCAGTAGAGGCCATTGCACTATTGCATGTGGATTAAAACACAGCATTTGACTATCTATCCCTAAGGACAAAAGAACTACAGAAAAATGTCTACATTGTTTGCAGTAATCACATTTTCAATGATAGTGTTGTACTGTATTCTGAGATAGTTGGGTGTAATGTGTAATAAAATAAATGAGTAATATACTTTATAGTAACATGATGATATGTGTGTATGATAATATGATAGTATAACTCTGTTATCCCCAGTATCCTTGAGAAATAGGGTTCTCAATTTAGGATTAAAAAGATAGGAGAGGGATTAAAAATGGCAGCAGAATACGAGGAAGCTTACAGACATGCTCCTAGGACCAAACTGGAATTACAACTAAAATACAAAAATAAACCCCACCCTGAATAATCAACTGAAGACTAGCTGGAGAACCCTGATAACCATGGACATAAAGTGGAGATCACATAGAGACTGTGAGGGTGGGGGAAGTGCGAAATAGCTATCAGGCTCCCACAGGTTGCAGCTGAAGTTCCAAAGAGATATCTCAGCAACTGGGGGGTTGCCAGTGAGAATTCTGAAGTCTAATCCCCAAGATGGGTCCCCCAGCAGATAATACTTGAACTTAGAAAGGTGCCCAGATAACAACTGCCTGTGAAAAGCAGCAAGTTTGCTGTCTGTCAGAGAGACATGGATAGAAATCCAGGCACCCTCTTAAAGGATCAATGCACAACATTTTGAGTGCAGCCTCTCGCCTTTGGCTCTGGCAGAGGGAGGGCAGAGTGGACTGGAGCTGTTTAACATAAGCCAGGGTTGGGAAATCTGGGGTTAGAGCTCAGAAGACAGACACCCCAGTTTCCTGTGCTGAGTTATTCCCTCATGCTGTTGAAGTTATCTTTCCACAAGATAACTTCAAGCAAACTTTTGCTATTCTGTGGTTTTTGCCTGGGGTAAAGACAGTTGATTCACCCTATTGGAAAATCCCCTGCCTCACCCTGTGGAGTTTCTGAGGCCCATTAAGAGACTGAGAATAATAATTAGCCTCCAGACAGAAGCAATTGCCCCACCCTGTTTGAAAATCTCTCAACCCCACCTGTAGACAATAGCTTGAGTCTACTCCAAACTGAATCCAATCAGTCTTCAGGCAGAGGCAATTCTCTGGAGCCTTTGAGTCTTTGCCTGATCTAATTACTCAGAAACAGCAGTTTGAGTCCCTGCCACAAACACTATCCCAGACTGCTCATTGAGGCAAAAGTCAGTGGGACCCCAAGTACTTGCAGGACCAGCTCAGAACAAAGTCAATAAAGCTATGAGACTCAAGGCAGAGTCCCCAAACACTGGACTACTAGGGGATTCAACCCTTTGGACCTCAGATTGCCCAGGGCCAGAAAGGGGCAGTTACTCACATTCAACTACACTAGAGAAGCTCCCAGGAGACCCAGGATAGACATACCAAAGAACCATTCAACAACATCAGAACAAAATCCAGCAAGCCACAAAAATAGTGGATCAAAAGCACCTGTATAACAGCTGACAGTACAACATTGGTGTTGAACCTCACTGGCAGCAAGTCAGAAGGGAGATCCCTCCCACAAATGGGACATCAACATTCAAATTCCAATTAAAACAGGAGATCTCAACAACACACACAAGGGGCACCCCTAGAGCATCCAGCTTGGCAAACAAAGAGACTACACCTCTAGACACTTCAAAATACTTTCTATACAAGTATAAGGCCATCTCACAAAGACTGGGAGCTAAATCAGTTCTATCTAATACATAGAAGCAAATACAACAAGATAGCTAAATTGGAGAGACAGGAGAGAAATCAAGATGGTGGCATAGGTAAACACCTGAACTTGCTGCCTTGCACAACCACTTCAAAACTACAACTAAAAGACAAAATGGGTATTATCTAGAAACACAGGAAGACTGGCTGAGTGGAAATTATACAACTAGAAGGAAAAAGAAAGCACAGTGAGATTTGGAGAAGGGACAGACGTGAAGTACAGAAGTATGGAGGCGTGATAAGGGCTGGCAACTGAGTACGCTGTTGTCTTTTTCAATCAGGAGGGAGATACAAGCTCCTGACTGCTCTGAACTCCAATTCTGGGCGAGACTCTGAGGACCCAGACTCATACAAAAAGAAACTGGACTATCTGGCATCAGGCAGTACTCGAGGGTGGCTTTCTTTCAGAGGTGCTTGCAACAATCATTGCTACCCTGTTTCCCCAAAAATAAGACAGTGTCTTATATTAATTTTTTCTCCCAAAGTTGCGCTAAGTCTTATTTTCAGGGGATGTCTTATCTTTCCATGCACTAGGTCTTATTTGCGGAGGATGTCTTATTTTCAGGGAAACACAGTACTACACGGAGCCGTGGAACACAGAGACATGGGACCTCTTCCAGGCAGGGCTGAAAGTCAACCATTGCTGTTTGCTCCACCCTGGTGATTCCCTGAGACCCCACCTCACCCAATTTACAACAACTCCCAAGCTTTTGCATATGAATGGCCTGGCCCTTTGCAATCTGAAGCCTAACATACTACATCTGGATCAGAGAGCCCCAGAGCCTCCAAAAAAATGCCCAAGGCTTGACAGCATTTTGCATTGTTCACATCTGGGCCTCATCTGGGCACCTCCAAAACCCAAACAAAGAGAAGGAATCTGCAAATCTCTCTGTAGCCCCTGCTGGGTGGCCTCGGGCAGAGGCTAAATTAGCACCTCCTTAGAAATCCAAGAGCCAGTGTACCCAGGGGTCAGAGTAAGACCATCCAGATTACAACTCCTCAGATCCATAAGGGACATACTCAGGGAGCAGAATCAGTGAGCACCAAAGCCCCACTGAAGCAAGTCTTGCCCCATCAGGGTGTTTCAAGTACAAAAGTCCTCCCATCATAAACACAGCTGATCCTCATAACCAATTGGTCTGGAGGTCAATTCCTCCCAGTGATACCAACAACAAGTACTTTGTGCCTAAAGTACTTCCTCTGGCCTTAAGTGTTTCTATTGAGAAGTCAGTTTACATTCTAATTGAAACTCCTTTGTAGGTAATTTTCTGTCT